GGAAAACAGGGAGAGGAGGAAGAAGAGGAAGAGAAAGAAGAGGAAAACGGAGAGGAGGAAGAAGAGGAAAAACAGGGAGAGGAGGAAGAAGAGGAAAACAGGGAGAGGAGGAAGAAGAGGAAGAGAAAGAAGAGGAAAACGGAGAGGAGGAAGAAGAGGAAAAACAGGGAGAGGAGGAAGAAGAGGAAAACAGGGAGAGGAGGAAGAAGAGGAAGAGAAAGAAGAGGAAAACGGAGAGGAGGAAGAAGAGGAAAAACAGGGAGAGGAGGAAGAAGAGGAAAACAGGGAGAGGAGGAAGAAGAGGAAGAGAAAGAAGAGGAAAACGGAGAGGAGGAAGAAGAGGAAAAACAGGGAGAGGAGGAAGAAGAGGAAAACAGGGAGAGGAGGAAGAAGAGGAAGAGAAAGAAGAGGAAAACGGAGAGGAGGAAGAAGAGGAAAAACAGGGAGAGGAGGAAGAAGAGGAAAACAGGGAGAGGAGGAAGAAGAGGAAGAGAAAGAAGAGGAAAACGGAGAGGAGGAAGAAGAGGAAAAACAGGGAGAGGAGGAAGAAGAGGAAAACAGGGAGAGGAGGAAGAAGAGGAAGAGAAAGAAGAGGAAAACGGAGAGGAGGAAGAAGAGGAAAAACAGGGAGAGAAGGAAGAAGAGGAAGGGAAAGAAGAGGAAAACAGGGAGAGGAGGAAGAAGAGGAAAAACAGGAAGAGGAGGATAAACAGGGAGAGGAGGAAGAGGAGGAAGAACAGGAAGAGGAGGAAGAGGAGGGGTCATCACTGTCAGTATTATTTTATATCACAAACTGAAATGTGTTCATTTCTGAAACATCGACATGATTTTACAAACAGGAAGTGAGTCACTTCCTCAGGGTTAAAACTGGGTCAGTTCATACATTATTATTATTGTGACATATTGACCTTTTATCAGTTACAGACTTGAAGAGGAACGACCTCTGGTTCAGGTGGAGACTGATGCCTCTGATCTCTGATCTGAGATCTGTGGTGTTTGAAACAGAGACATGATGTGAGAGTCCTGAGACCAACTGTGTGTATTCTAAACTGTCCTGAGATCAGCTGAAGCGTCTCGTTCCTGTTTCTGTCTGTGTGAAATAAATGACCTCAACAGTGATTCACCGTCTGTCAGAGAATAACAGATGTTAAACATCTGATTCACCCGATCAACATCATCTCTGATCCTGATCCTGAACCAGGTCCAGATCTTCTGATGACCTTCCAACAAATAAAAACGTCTTCAAATACAGACGGTGACTGTGAATCCCACAGAGCTGAGTGCTGCTGGTTTGTGTACCAGCTGACTGAAACCAGTGTTTATCTTCTATGACGTGACGTCATCAGAGAACACATGGACCTTCAAAATAAAGTCCAATCAATAGATCAAGTTCTTCCCTTAAGAACTGCTTCAGTTTCTTACAGACATGTTAATGTTGTTGAGATCCAGACTGTTTCACTTCATGATAGTTCTCAATGTGAGGAACATGTGACTCAATCATTATAATCAATCATGTAATATCGTTTCATCTCGTCCTCCAATCTCCACATTTAATATGAAAGACAAAAACACAAGGTTCAACTTTTATAGTCAATTTTAATTTACAATGCCCCCCCCCCCCCCCCCCCCGACTCCTGTGATATAAAAAAGCTGAGTGACAGTGACAGAGAAATGCTGCCCAGCAACATTCAGACCCAAGCAAACGACAAACACCCGACACATCCGGTTATTTTACAGGAAACAACAGACTCTCATCTGCCCCCCCACCCCCCCACACCCCCCACCCCCCCTCATGCAAAGACTTCTCTATAAACATGCTGCTGTTTGGAAGAGACGTGTAGAAAAACTGATGATAGAAAAGTGAAAAAGATGAAGGCTGTAATCGGCGAGCAGGAAACATTCCCATGACAACACGTTTCTGACGGTTCAAACAATGTAAACACACACACACGGACACACACACGGACACACACACGGACCAGAGATCCACAGCAGGGAGTCACACTCCAGCTCAGCTGTTTTTAAAATATCTCAACAATGTTCAACATCATCATGATCATCATCATCTCGCTTGAACAGGTTCAAACATCAGATAACTGCAATAATCTTACAACTATGAAACGTATTTAACAGTTAAAAATCCCATGAGACACTTGAAATTTCAGGCTGCCGTTCCTGTCACAGGAAACATTTTAGTTTCCCCTCAGACAGATGTCAATGACCTTGTATTTTAATCTCAGATTTTAGACTGAGGATGTCGAATTCACAACTCGGATATTTCTTCATTTGTGCAGTTTATAACATCTGATGTGAAATATTAAATATGAAACAATGTATTCACAAATCAATTACTATGAGAACCAAAAGTTCTGTAAGAGTCGACAGTCTACTCGTCTCAACATTAGCTCGCTAGCTAACGCGATATTGCTAGGCTAGTTAGCTAGCTTTTCTCCTTCTTCATTGTTGAAAAGATTTGACACCTGGATTGTTCATGAGAAAGTAATGGATGAACTCATTGCAAAAACTAAAAACATTTCCTTGCCAGAAATGGCGGCCATCTTGAATTTTCGAGAGGCTAACGTGTTTTGTGAAAAGGATTTGAGACGGACCAAATCTGAAACCTGCAGTTACCTGCTGAGCTGAAACAGGAAGATCCTAATGTTTTTATCTCATTTATCTGATTAAAGACTAACTGCACTTTAATAATGAGTGAATTTAAACACATGTGGAGGACCTCACTGAGGACAGCGTCATGGTGTCAGAGCTGCTCATGTCTCAGGATAAACACCACAACGATCAACACGTGTTTGTACTGAAGACTGATGGATGAAGACACGACAACACATCCAACTCCTTAAAGTCTGAGTGAAGGTTTCCTTAAAATACACAAAACACCCGTAAGGTTTTATCCTCAAGGTTTCCTTAAAGTGTTCACCTGAGTATTTAAGGTTTTCTCCTTATCTTTGTCTTAAACTTAGGGAATCACTTAAAGTCAGTTATGCTGAAACACCTTAAAGACCAAAGGTAAGGGGAAAAACTAAAGGTTCCTCCGACTGTATCTTAACTGAAACATGTCTGAGTTTCTGGTGACAAAGGAAGATGAACTCATCCCAGGAAGAGAAACCCCGAGTGATGCAGAACAACTTTACTGCTGTAAAATCAATCAACTTTTAAACTAAGGAAACCTTTCAGAGATTCTTCACAGCGTCCTTCAGTAACTCCCTCAGCTAACGAGAAATTAAACCTCAAGTGTGAAGTAGAAAACTTTAAGGTGTTAAAACCAGAAGAAAGATTTTCTGAAGGAGCTGCAGGTTTGAATCCTGAGGAGAGTCAGACTCCGCCCGTAAACAAACACTGTTGGATTGTTGACAGTGTCTGTGTATGACATCATGCTCAGCGGCGTGTGCGGTGTCGCAGCCTGACGGGGACGTGGCGGGATCAGGAGGAGCAGGATCAGACACAACAACATTCCTGCAGGAGGTGAGGACAGATCCACACCCGCACAAAGCTCTTAATTATAACACCTGATAGCAACACGCCGCGGCCCCGTCCCCCTGTGCGGCATGTGGCGTGCTGACAGGGCGGGGGGGGGGGGGGGCCTGTCCAGATCTGCTCATATCTCATTAGCAGACGGCTAACGGCCTGGCCCCGGTTTAAAACTGGATTTAATTAAAGCTGAGGTGTCTGGGTACACGGGCGGACACACACACACACACACACACACACACACACACACACACACACACGTCTGGACTCTCCAGGTGGGGGGTGGAGCTCGCAGCAGAAACACAGCTGGGTCTGACTGTCACATCTGTGGCTGTGGATTCAACAGGAAGAACATCTGGTTCCAGCTGTGAGAGCTCTGAGTCAGACTTGTGATGTCACACAGATTCAGTCGCTGTAAGTCTGTCTTCTCCTGCAGTGACGTCAGTGACACTCAAGAAATATGAGCTGAAACTAAATCAATAAATCTGATCCAAACCACAATGCAGAACTGATTCATCGATTGATTGACTGACCGTTGATCAGTTTCAGCTGCTCCAGTTTACCTGGAGTTTTAATGAGACACAGCTCAGTGTGGTTTTCCTGGAGAGACTTGGGGCCAGCTGCACAAAACCTTAAGTTAAGATTTTCCTTAAAGTCTGACTTAGAGTTTCTTTAAAACGAACACCTTAAGTTTTCTCCTTAAAATGTCACTGAAGTATTTTTCTCATTATCTTCGTGTTAAACTTCAGGAATCACTAAAGTCAGCAAACTGTTGCACTAAAAGAGCTTAGCGACCACAGGTCACCGTGGTGAAGTCGCAAATCAACGGTCTCCATGGAAACAGTAGAATTTTAACACTAAAATTTCTTTCGCCGCTGTAAACAACTTAACTTTTTTTCTTAACTAAAGAACTTTAAGAGTCTGTGCAAGAGAACTGAATTTCTCCGTAAGTAGAAAACTTAAGCGTTTGTACCAACGGCCGCTGGTTGACCAGGTCTCTCACTCTTTAACAGAATCCTTTTCCAGGACTTTTATTAATGACTCACAGCCTCGTTTTAATGTGTCACGGGATTCTGGGAAATAACCTCCAGATTGTGTCAAATGAAAAATGATTGGAGACTTAAAGAGGTGAAACTTTCCAGTATTTCAGAAACGTATTTGAGAAGAATCATTGAAAAATATAAATTTGGAAAGAAGAACGTAATCATGTGACCTGCTGGAGGACGTCTCAGACTCAGATTAGAAAGATGATGATGAACTTCATCATCAGGTCAAAGTAAAAACAGGAAGCTCTGTTTCTCTCATCCTTGGAAATATAGAATAAAGTATTCCAGGTTTTCCAGGACACCTGTTTAAGGCCCACACTCAGGTGAGTTGACCTGCAGGTGCGGCAGCCACAGATAGGACAGGGTGACCCAGGCAGTAAATCAAACACCCCTCTCGTCTCTGCAGAACAGACTCAGACACAAACATTAACAGTGAGACTCTGGTAATAAAACAAACTGCTAAAAGGACAATTCTGATGTTTTCTGTATTTACACATATTGTTCAGTGAAGTTAAAGGAGTTTATGAAGAGTATCAAAAGTTCATGAAGTATTTATACTGAGTCTTAAAAGAATGTGTCATTTTGGCTTAAAAACCAGAATCATCCTTTAAACATCAACATGTAGTGAACGACTTTAGAAATTCTCTCATTAGATTTTGTGAACTAGACATTTGTCAAAAACTCTTTGCAGAACGACAGAAGAAAATACACATCCTAGAAAAAGGGAATTTAAGAATTTACACCGTCGTCTGCAGCTGAGGAGGCGCAGAGTCAAACGTCTCGTCCTGTGGCGTCCACGTCCAGCCGACAGGAAGAGGAAGCTCAGGAGACGCTGGTCCAGTGTCACTGCAGGTGAGTTCTTACTGGAGTTCACATCTCTCCAATCAATCAGTCAATCAATAACACGACGTGACCTTTCAACCCTGGGTCAGGTTCACCTTCTGTCACAGGCCAAAGTCCAAGAACTTTTCCAGGACAGAGTTTGAATTTGAAAAGTTTCTGTGGCTGGTTTTCACTTTAAAAGTCTTTTAAAACTGATTCAATAAATTAAAACTTCATACAATACTATATTCATAGATCTGTATGACGTTTCCGGACCCTGGCTCCTGTTTTTATTTGTCATAACTTTCCAGGTTTTCCAGGACCTCGATGGACATTTTGGTAAATGTGTCGTTAGGGAGTAAAAATGAGAAAAGAACTAATAAACCAAAGAAAAGCCGTGAAGATGTGACGCCATGTTTCCAAAGTTTCCAGAAAAGCTGCAGATACCAAACATCCCCGTGGCCCCGCCCTCACTGCCCATTGGTGGAGGCATTGTTAGGGGCGGGGCTGGAGCCCTCGGCGCCCGCTGGCGGCTGCACGTTGTCGGCCAGGTTGTGGGCATGCTCCAGGAAGAGGTCTTTGAGCACGCTCAGCTCTTTGCTCAGCAGCTTGATCTTGGCTTCCAGCCGCTCGTTCTCCTCCTTCAGCTCGTTGACGCGCTGCTGCGTGTCCATCGCCTTCTGCTTGCTACGCATGCGGCTCTTCTTCACCGCCAGGTTGTTGCGTTCGCGGCGCTGGCGGTACTCCTCGCTGTCCTTGTCTGCTGGGGGCTTCTTCATCTTGCTGGGGGGGAGGGCCTTGCCGCCTCCGGCTGAAGAGTTGGCGGGAACGAGTTGGGGGACCTGCTGCAGTCCGGCTACAGCCGCCGAAAGAGAGGAGGAGGAGGAGGCGTGGGCCTGACTCTGGATGACGCTCACGCCGTTGTGGTCAGATGTGGTTAGTTTCGGCTGCGACGGCCTGCTCATTTGGATGTGCTGCCTGCAGGTGCTGATCTCCGTCCAGAGTCTCCTCAGGTGTAGAGATGAAACAGGGACAGAAGAAGAAGAAGATGGTTCACCTGGACAGAACCTGGAGGACGCGAGAGGAACAGGTTAACTGACCAATCACAGGCCGACACAGAACTGTAGTGATATGATGCAGGTTTGACTTTATTGTCCTGAATTTGTTTCCTCTAATGTTACGAGTAAAAACCTTCAGGCACATCTACTCTACTGAGACAACACGAGTTTAATACATCTACGAATATCTAATACACCACCTGTTCAGACACAGACCTGTAAACTCAACATGTTCAGGACAGTTCGGACAAAACGAGACATTTAAAGACGCCAGCTGGGACTGAAAATAAGCAGCAGATTAACCCTTAAAGGACGAGTGTGGAGGCTTCAGTGGTAACCAGTGGTGACTGAGTGCCCCTGCCCTGACCCCTGCCCTGACCCCTGCCCTGACCCCTCCCCTGACCTCTCCATTTCCAAGTGTGAAGGAGAAGATACGTTGAAAGTCCTTCTTTAGAAACAGTGGTAGGTTTGTCCGTTCTGGGCTACTGTAGAAACATGGTGCAACATGGCTGCTCCCTGTGTAGATATGAAGCTCACGCTAAGCTAACGAAGACACAATTCTTAGTATCAGGTGATCATAAACTCATGAAAATATAATTAGGAATATTCTGCCAACAAATCCGTAGTTGCTCAGAGACCACACAACAATATTACAGTAGATCTCTACAATAGACTATGATCATGAAATCTTTAGGGCAGCAACTCGGTTATTACTGTAATCAATTGATCTGCTGTAGAGCTGCAAAATCAATCAAACTATAAATAAAAATCACAATATGGTCACGTGCAATATCCAAATTGGGGCTGCACGATATTAAACATCATATTGCGATGTGTGTTTTCAGTGTGATGGTCAGTAATCAATTAATCTGCTGCTTATTTTCTAGACGACCTGATGAACCATTTGACACAGATCGTCAGAGACCAACAGTTTGTTCATTAGATGGATGAAGGATCAAAGGAGATGATCTGAGGAACTGTTTTTCAGTTTCAAATTGATACTTCTCATTTCTGTTGATCAGTTAATTGATTAATCACCTGATCATGCCAGCTCTCTCTGCTTGTCAGGCGTGTGAAGGAACCAATGACATCCCTTCTTTCACATCTGCAGTCAGCTCTGCAGATTCTCAGCTGACCTCAATCCATCAGTCAGGAACCCCCCCACCCCCACCCCCCCTCACCGGTGCTGCTGCTCTCAAACACCCCCCCCCGTCTCTCAGAGCAGCAGCGGATATCTGACGCGATAATTGGTTGGATTTTTTGTTCCGCACGGCAATTAGCAGCGCCGCTCTGATTGGTCGGCGCGTTGCCATGCAGCCAGTCAGCTGTGCGCAGGGAAAAGCGCTCCGGGTGAAACCAGCGGAGCTCCGGCTGTTGCCTGGTGTTGCATCATCGTCGGCTCTCTTTATGCCGAGAGAGGGGAACTCCGGAGTCATGCGGGGCTAAGCTCAAACCTCAGTCTTTACGAGACTTTCATTCGGCTTGACTGAAATAAAAACACAACAAACACCCTGACACTTCCGACGGACCGACACGATCCGTGAATCCTGAATTCACGGGCACTTTTAACAACTTTTTGTTCACTCGAAGCAGCGAACCGTCGATTCACGGCATTAGGTGTAAACATGAAGCCCCCACACTCTGAACACAGACACGGACACGAGTCTAGTTCGGACAAACACAAACGAAACTACATTTTCACTTTGTTCTGAAAAGCCCGTTCAGCCGGGCAGCTAGCCAGCTAGTTAGCTTCTGGTGCTAACCAGCCCTAACGTCCCGGTTAGCGCTGCTTTTTCAGACCCAGAAACAGTTTAAAACACCGTTTACCTTCACTGGGCGGCGGTGGGGTCAACCATTCGTCAAAGCGGAAAAAGTTCAGGCAGAAAGTTGGAGTTTAATTCCGTGTGTCAGAGCTCTGAGTGTTTTTGTTTGGAACATGGAGAGGAGCAGATTGCGAAATCTCTTTTACCATGTACGGCAATGTCCAGGGTCAGCCAATCAGAGGCCAGGAGGAGGCAGCGAAGCGAGCGGCGGACCAATCACAGGTGAGTGTGTGGCAGAGTGATGCAATGCACCCCGTGATTGACATCTCATCCGACCAATAGGAGAGGGCTGTCGGTTTTGTTTATGTAATGTGAGGTTAGTCAAATGTGTGACTTCATCTCTGAATGACGAGATTTAATCAGCCTGAAACTCCTAATTATACCGGTTTATATTTACACTGTCACTGTCATCACCTCTGACCTGGTCACCTGTCCCTCTGCTGCTCAAAGAGTCAACTCCAGATACTTTATACTGAAGACAAACAGCTGATAAACTGACAGGTGAGGTGTTACAACATGATGGAGGAAGCCTTAAAACTGAAACTACACCCGTCACAAACCAGTCAAAACACTGTCATAATATTTAAACATTTTCTTATTTAGTTTAATAGTGGAGGAATGTAAATGTGCCATGTTATTATTATGTTGATGTTTAACAGCTGTGTTAGGACTGTACTGACACCAGCTCCTCCATTAAACATGTAAAACATTAAATACCATTAAAAGAATCTGATTTTGTTCCTGTTGGTGTTTATTTACATCATGATGATAATGTCAGATTAATGTCACTGAAACTAAATGTGAAACATTCTGCTAACGTTCCCTGAAGCTAAGATAAGGTAAGATAAGATAAGATAAGATAAGATAAGATATTCCTTTATTAGTCCACAGTGAGAGAATTTATAGTTTTACAGCAACAAATTGACACAAAGAAAGAAGAACTGCTAACAGACAGACAGACAGACAGACAGACAGACAGACAGACAGACAGACAGACAGACAGACAGACACTTTATCCTCTAGGGGAAATTCATTTTCAGGCTCTTAAACAAAAAGATAAATAATATAATATGTACAATTTAAATACTTAGATGAACAAAACAAAAAAAATAGCAGCAGATCAAGGATGTTTAAGTTCCTGTCTGACAACAGTCACCTGCAGAGCACATGAACACACAGCTGTACAGGTGTGATGATAATTATTTGTCAGTTGAGATTTGTTTTCCTGGGATCTGGATAAACAGCAGTCTCAGGTCATGTCCACACTAACGAGGAGAAATCTGTGTCTATATCTTTTCTCCCTCATACACTCAGCTGATTGGCTCAGGGTCAGATGACGGAGTAGCCTCCCTCTTCAGTGTTTCTTGTTGTTCAGACTTTTACTCACTCCACTGATTCCACTATTTGACAGCACTCACATAATCCTGAGGGAGTCTGGTGTGTTGAGGTGCTCTCCTTGTGAGAGCCAGTGAAGTAGAAATCTTACTTTTTGATAAAACATGCTGTGACAACATGTTGATTAGAATCCATATGTATTAGTCTGTATAATAGTATATGTTGAAAAGTGCATCATGCTGAGGTTGTACTTCTTTTTCCATTATTTGTTATAGTGTTGAGTTCTATGGTTGTAGTTTACGACAGGTGATCATGCCGTAAAGCAGTTTGGTGCTCAGATTAGGCAGCGTTAATAAAACACTGAGAAGTCAGAGATTAGATTGATAGAAGTATTTGACTGTGTTAAATGTAAAGGATTTAGAAATATGAAAATAATGAACATCAAGTCAGTATTGGACCAGGCTGAGATGTCAAACTGAATCACCTGCTGTGATGCTTGTGTATGGAAATAAAAAAACAAAAGCAAAACCTGTGCTTCCTGTATTATGATCTTTATCCTTCAGTAAACACTGGGACAAGCATCTGATATAATGTTTATAACCTGTCTCCAACCAAGGCCGGAACATTTCCAGAACCTTAATGTACCTGTATTTTCCAGAACAGGAAACAGCCACTTTAACCTGTTCAATGAGGTTTTTGCTGCTGAACCAAAAGCCACAGTCACTGATGTGATCAGCTCTACATGAATATGTTTGACTGCAGATCAGCTCTCTCCTCACTCTGAACATCTCATTCACTATCTTTTTACACTTGCTGTTTATCTTTTGAACATGTTCAGTCCATGTTAATGTTGCATCAAACCAGAAATCTACAGACTCGCGTGGTTCTTTGCTCACATCTCTATCTGTGTATCAAACACCTTTTTCTACTCAAAACATCAATCCCTATGAATATGATCTTTTTTCAACCACATCAACTTCCTCTTTTCCAGAACATGAACGTGTGAAGGGCAGGTGATGGAGTTTGGGCATCAGAAACTTTTTAAGGGATGTTCCAAAAGCAGGTCGACAGGTGTGAGCTCAAAATGTGATACTTATATATTTATCAGCAAAAATATTAACAACACCAACAAAATAAGTTCAGCCACAACAAAGAATTAAAAAGTGCAGCCTGACAGCAGCTGTCACCTCCTCTGTCTCTCCTCTACTGACCACCAAACAGATTTTTACCTTCTCCTTCTCACCTGACTGGACCATACCACCTGCTCAGGTAAGTCTGGGGGTGAGCTCAACAAACACCTGAGTCTTCGAGCACAACAATCCCCACACACCTGCTACAACCTGGATCTCTGTTACCACTCATCAGTGCACCAGCTTCATCCATCCTTTATCTCCACTCACACCAGTGAAACCCAGTCCCTCAGTACTGACAGACCTAATGATGCACACCTGTTCCCCCTCTACCTGACGGAGCTGATTGACAGACGGATTGAGCTCCAACACAAACCTGCAGACAAACATAAACCACAATCAATATATGAAATAATCAAGACCTGAGAAACGAATAGAAACATTTGACTAAAGTCCTGATGATGCAACAGTGATGATGATGTAACAGTGATGATCAGGGCTGATGATTACTATTGTAATGCTGGACAACGACTGTCCAACACTGAGTTAATTAAAAAGAGTAGTGGGCTAAATACGCTACCCTGAGGAGCTCCTTTATCTGTACATATCCACCTGATTAGACTCGTTCAGTTCTGACCTGAATAAATCAGATAAAACGTCTTAAATCCAATTATATGTTCTAACTGCAATTCCTATCATATTATTATTATATTTGATATGATATAATAATATATAATATAATGTATTTCATATATTATGCCCTGTATTAACTCCACTTTTCATCTCTGATGAGTCGACAGCCTTCTTTTGCTCTCATACAAAATCTGAATCTTTGTGTCATCAGTCTCTCCATTATCTTTATGTGTGATGTCAGAGCTGTGGGTCCATAGTTCACTGGATGTGATGGGTCTTTCCCTGGTTTCCTAATCACTGCAACTTCCCACTTCCTGTACTTCATCATAAACACCTGAAAGCTTTAACATCACACAGCAGGAGATGCTCATGCAGGTCTAACTGCCTCCTCCTCTTCCTCAGCACCGGATACTGCCATTCCCTCTTGATTTCTCTCTGCACTGCAGAAATCAAAAGGTTCAGAAAACTTAAAATTTCAAAGCAGCTTATGGCACTACATTTTTACATTTTGAGGCCAACTCAAACTACTTATAGTTGTGGCGACTAATTCTGTTTTGTTCAGATAGTTAATCTTTCATATTTATAAAAACGTCAGATTTTGAGTTCTACATGCTAAAACTTTCAAATAAAAGTTGTTACAACGAATGAATAAACTTTTGTAAAGATAAACAGCAGCAGTTTAATTATCATGTTTATTTCCAACATGAAACAATAGAAAATAGTAAAGACTTGACTGATCTTTATCATTCATGTTGGAATCAGCCACGTCTACCCTGAGCCATGTTCACATCTGATGAACATTCATCATGTCATTTTAAATTGTTACTCAAAGTTGACTTGTGTGATTTTAACTTTTGTTCAGCAGCTAAAACTGTCACAGTGTCATTTAAACACAGTCCTGTCTCAGCAGCTTCAACATGTCACTTCAACACTTTGAAAACAACGTATTCATCCACTGAGTAATGTGGTTAAACTAGTCCTACAGCTACAGCCCAACCCTCAAACATCTGTCAAACTTCACACCTCCAGTTAGCAACACTGTCAGATATCTGTAGACTGAGATAACCCTGATGACGTCACAGTGACATCATCAGGTTTTTTTTCTCCCCGTGACGTTTGTGTATAAAAAAAGTTTGTTTCAGCTGGAAGAAGAAGAAGAAGAAGAAGAAGAAGAAGAAGAAGAAGAAGAAGAAGAACTAGTCAGTGAACGCACCACGAGTGTTTATGTTGCTGCTGTTTAAATTCAGGATAAAGTGACAGAGTGAAAATTAAGTGTCACTTCTCTCCTGTGTGATTAGTCTGTTAAATACTGTAGAGCCAGTCAGAGAGGTCAAAGGTCAACATGTCCAACACGCCCTATCTGAGTCATCTGCTCTCACTGTGCCAAGTCAAACTCTGTCTGTGCCAACACTGTGAAGCACAGTATGTACTGAAGGCGTCACAGCTTTTGTCTGGACTCTGATTTTAATATGTGCAGGAAACAGTTCATCCTGGACTCAAAGACTCAGAGACTCATAGAGACTCAAAGACCCAGAGACTCAGAGAGACTCAAAGACCCAGAGACTCAGTGAGACTCAGAGACTCAGAGACTCAGAGAGACAGAAATCAAAACGAGACAAAATGATTTCCTGAGGATCTGTTGAATTGATTCTTTTGACCAGAGAAAATGCTTTTCCATTTTCCTTCAGTGTTTTGTTTTTCCTTCACAAGTTTCTCAGATCTCCTCAATGATCCCTGGAACATTCTCAATGATCTCAAGAACCTCCTTGAACTTATTGATACCTCGACCGTCTTTAAGGAGACCAGAAGTTTCTCAAGAGCCCTTGATCCTTCTCAACGATCCATAGAACATCTGAAATTAAACCATGAACCAACTCGGTTTCCTCAATAACCTGCTGAAGGACTCGAGAACACTGTCAAAACCTGCTGGACCTCCTTGTGGATCAAGGATTACAAGCTCCTCCTTGAACTTAATGTTGCACTGCTATAACCTTTCAGGAAACCCTGGAGCCTCCATAAGGACCACTGAAAATTTCTTGGGGAACTCCTGAAATTCTTGAAAGAATGCCTGGAACTTCATTAGTTATTCCTTGAATCTCCTTGAGGACTGATTGTACACCTTCAAGGATCCTTAAAGGATCAATGGAACCTCCTCAAAGAACACATAACATTTCAAGGTCCCTGGAACTTTTTCAAGTATGTATGAGACTCAGACACTCACTGAAACTCCTCAAGGAGCTTCTGCACCTACTCAAGGACTCAAGGAGCCTCTCCAAGGTCCATAAAAACTCCTCAAGGATCTTCCTCCTGGAAATCCCCCATGGTCCTGACTTGAACTTCCAAAAACAGCCCTGGAACTTCCTTAATGACCCTATGAATCCTCTCAAACGCTCATAGAACCTCATGACGATCCATAAAAACTCATTGAGAATCCACTGAAGACCAGAGCCCCAAGAACCTCCTCAAGGTCAGGTAGAACATTCTCAAGGATCCTTGGAACGTTTCTTGATGACCTTCTTCAGGGACTCCTTTAAGCTTTCAAGGACCTACCAGTGAACCTTGAACCCTCTGAAGAACTATAGATATAGAACCCAAGGACTCATTCAAGGATGATCGGATCCTCCTTAATAACCCCTAGAGCATCTCCAAGGTCCATCAAGGATCACTGTAAACACCTCAAGCACCTCTTCAACCTGCTCCAGGACCTAGAACCTAATGGATCCTGTGACTCCTGGAACCGTCTCACAGACTCTAGAACTTCTTCAATGACCCCTTGAACCTCCTTAAGGACCTAGAATCACCTCAACTGTCCCTAGAATATATTCTGTGTCCATAAAATGTCCTCAAGGATCAATATATCCCCCTTGTGGACTCCTGGAACCTCTTCAATGACCCCTGGAAACTTATTCAGAGCCATTTCACCCTTGTACAACATTCAGCCGCTCAGGGACATGAGTCCACCAAGTCCTCAAGGATGCCTGGAAACGTCTGAAATGAAGCCTGGGAGCCCCTCAAGGACCCTCTAATATCCTCAATGACCTTCATTAAAAACAGGTTTCAGCCTGAATCTGGACTCTGTTAAATCATTTTTATTATGATGATGAAAGAAGAAACAGATTTACTGTCTCTCAGAAACGAAGGGGAATAAATTATAAACATGTAATAAAACATATAGAAAGTGAATGAAGTGAAACTGAAATAAATAAATGAATAAATAAATAAATAAATGTCTTCTACAGATGAGGGAGGAGGCTCCTCCTCACACAGCGCCGCGCTCTGCCGACAGAGGGCGCTCCAGTCCGTTTGTTCAGCGACTCACTCACTTCATCCAGAGAACCCTCACAGCCCGGACATGAACCTTCTTACCCCTGTTGCCCCTGTTACCCCTGCTGCCCCTGCAGGGACCCCGGCCCCGGATCATTCACCTACAGGAGCAGGTAAAAGACGAGGGGGATGACGGGAAACAGAGTTTAAACACACACACACCAGGAGCCCGTTTAATTGAACTAAATCACGGTATCACATTAAAATATAATATTACGCTTCATAAATATGATTTAGACACAAACATGACAATAAAAGAAATATTCAAGTATTTATATTCATTAAGTCTCGAATTTTTTTTTACGAATTTTGTTTTATTTGTCTTTATTTAGAAAAATCCTCTTTTCTGCAGCAGCTGGTTTCAGAGTCAGTGACCTGATGACAGATGTTTATTATCGGCCTGATGCACAGAATTCATTTTCTTTGTTTGACCTCATTTTCATCGAATCGTCCTGAACATGAAGATGTGAGGCGCGTGCTCTCTGCAGACTGCACCAGCCTCTTCTCTCAGAGGAGTGACTCCACCAACCTGCACCTCCTCAATGATTCTCCTGGTCCGGAGATGAAACCAAACTCCGTCCATTTACCGTCTCCTCTCCTGTAAAGGAGAAATCTTTGAACCCACAATGAAGTTAATATTTAGTATATTCCCCTAAATTTCACAGCTTTAATTATGTAACACTAGTTTTCATTTGGATCGTGTCTCAGTTTTGACTGAAGCTCATTTTAAAGGAACAAAACTCAAACCTTCCGGTTAAAATTTGGAGTGAAACACGTGGAAATGGAAGTTTTTTCTGCAACTGGTTTGAGCCTAAGTGTGGACCGACTCTTCCTCCATCTGATCTGATCTGAAGTCTCATGCATCGTGTCCTGACGGACGATAACACGCGCTGAGCTCGGCCGAAGTGATTTCTACACGGAGTTCGTTAAATGAGGCTGAACACACTGTATTTAACATTTATTCTAGTTTTCCTCAGAAAACGTTTGTGCAGCGACAGTGGGTTAAATCCCTGGACTGAGTGTGTGTGTGTGTGTGTGTGTGTGTGTGTGTGTGTGTGTGTGTGTGTGTGTGTGTGTGCCCGCCCACTCCCTCCTGCTATATAACCACAGTTTGACAGCTCAGAGTTTACTGAGCAGGAGAATCAGACCGACTTCCCGCCGCCTCACTCCGCTCCTCTCTGCTCTCACACACCAACCTGTCCCAGTGTCCCCGGCTGCAGAGCCCGTTCACTGCATGTCTGCAGGTCTCTGACCCCCCCTCACCTGAGGACCCGACGCAGGACCTGACTTTCACCAAACTGGATTCCCGGAGCTCGTCACCATGTCTGCCCGGGTTTAGATTCTCCATGGAGCTCTCTAACCTGTACGAGGTCGCGCCCCGACCCCTGATGAGCAGCCTGACCCACGGCCAGCAGCCCCCCTCCGGCTACAGAGACCCGGCAGACCTCGGCGGTGAGATCGGAGACAACGAGACCTCCATCGACCTGAGCGCCTACATAGACCCGTCCGCCTTCAACGACGACTTCCTGGCCGACCTGTTCCACCACAGCTCCCGCCAGGACAAGCTCAAGATCATGAACGGGGAGTACGAGTCGGTGCCGTGCGGGGGCCCGGGGCCCCAGCAGCTCTACATGTCCAACTACATGGAGTCCAAGCTGGAGCCGCTCTACGAGCCGCGCATCCGGCCGGTGGCCATCAAGCAGGAGCCCCGGGACGACGAGGACCTGAACCCGGGCATGCCCCCCACCTACCACCACCCGCACCCGCATTCCCAGCAGTACTCCCAGCATTCCCAGCATTCCCAGCAGCAGCAGCCGCCGCAGATGCCGCACCTCCAGTACCAGATTGCGCACTGCGCGCAGACCACCATGCACCTCCAGCCGGGCCACCCGACTCCTCCGCCGACCCCGGTGCCCAGCCCGCACCAGCACCACCACCAACACCCGCACCAGCACCCGCAGCAGGGCGGCATGAAGCTGCTGGAGCAGCAGCGGGGAGGCGGGAAGACCAAGAAGCACGTCGACAAGAGCAGTCCGGAGTACCGGCTGAGGCGCGAGCGCAACAACGTGGCCGTGCGCAAGAGCAGGGACAAGGCCAAGATGCGCAACATGGAGACGCAGCAGAAGGTGGTGGAGCTGACCACCGACAACGAGAGACTGAGGCGGAGGGTGGAGCACCTGACCCGCGAGCTGGACACGTTACGGGGCATCTTCAGACAGCTGCCGGACGGATCCTTCAAACCCATGGGCAGCTGAGAGACTACTGACCCCGACTGGATCCGGACTGGATCCAGTCCGGAACCGGACTGGAGGTGGACTGGTACACTGCTGGATTTATACACACATGGTTCTACAACTCTTCACGTACGGACGGACTGACAGCTGTGAGGAGACTGAGGCAGCTGAGGTGTTCACTGCAAACACATCTGTCTGACCCGAACATCTGGTCTCTGACTGAGACATAAACTCAAAACAAGTGAAAAAGAATCTGCACAGCGGCAAAGTTCACAATCAAAAACTTTGCACAGTTTTTCTCAAACAGCTGATTGTAGAAAAGTCTGGAGGCTGCGTTGTTATTGGCTGCAGGTGGAATCATCTCATTGGCTGATTATTTTCCACTTGTTGTGAGGGGCTCAGTCAGAGACGGAGACGTGCTCGGACGTGTCTCTGTTGCAGTGTTCATGTGCCTTTTTAAACTTTTGTGCAAAAGCCAATAAGCTCGTTCCCCCTGCAGATCCAGAGGACTGGGTGTTTGTGCCTTATTTCCGGACAGACTGGTGTGCCGCCACACACTCAACTCACATATCAGAGCAGCTAAGGTAGGGCCGGGTGGAGCTGACCCCCCCACACCAGCCTGTTGTGCATGTTTCTCCTGAATTATTCCTTTGTTTTATACAAGTTACGTCTCCATATCTTCTGATAAACTAGAGTTTGTCTTTATAGAGTTATGAAATGCAAAGTGCACACTGCTTTTATATAGGCTCAAGTGTATGTACGTATGTATGTGTATTTTCTGTCTAATGCATGATGGATCTATAGGCTCAGCTCCCCTCTGCAGGAGGAGGAGGAGGAGGAGGAGGAGGAGGAGGGGGCTGCAGGTACGAGCTCTGTGTGGAGGTGCAGGTCAGAGCGTCATCTGAGCGTCACGTGATAGAAAGTTCAGCTCATCAGAGAAATCCTAGTAAAAGTAGAGTAATCCACTGAGCAGCAGTCTGACGTCACCACGTCGCTCTGTCCGGTGGAAACCTTGTACATCCACTTTTAGGAGATTTTCATGTTCAAACAGATGGAGGTTAAACTTTTTGGATCTTTGCACTATGACACAAAAAGCTTCATTTTCCCGCTCAAAAACAAGGCGGGGACCCCCCCCCCCTCTGATGCCGTGGACATACAAGGTTTTCATGTGTCTGATGATAATAATCAAGTATCTCCCTGAGTCTGGTCATTTAATGCCAAAGTGAAACACACACACACACACACACACACACACACACACACACACACTCAGACTGGAATTGAAACTGTGGTACCTGCTTCATCAGGTCAGCGTCCAGTGGAAACCTGGTATCTCCAGCTCTGTAGGAACATTGTGGTTTAACACACACACACACACGTGGAGATGTGAGGTTTCCAGAGGACAGTGACAGGACAGCAGCTCTATCGCATGCACTATTTGTCGTAGATTGAAGCGCCGTGTTGTGTGTGACACAATGCATCATGGGTACTGATCTGAAAAGAAAACACGCCTCGCTCTTCATGTATTTATGTTGTTGAGAAAAAACAAAAGCAAAATGTGAAAAGGGTTTCTCTCTCTATGCAACACGTCTCTTCCTCTTTTCCACTGTTGTATCATCACTCTCTCTCTCTCACACACACACACACACACACACA